TAAAGACACCAGGGTAAAGCAAGAATGAAGAGTCAAGTGCGAGTTGAAGATGAAGCACTGTAGAGCAAAGTTTGGACCAGAAGTTTTGAAAATTTAAAATTAAGGCTGTAAAAATCAGGATTTGCTCAGTTGTTTTTTTTTTTTCTTCCTCCAATGTGGGCCGAGATATGCCGCAGAGCAACGAGGGAAAAGTTTTAGGAATCTACCATGAAATTAGGGCTAAATATATCTGAAGCATAAAAATAATATAATAGGTAATTATAATATTCACAAGTCTAATAGTAAAATGAGAATAATATTACTAAAACAATTACATAATTATACAGGAGGGAATATCTCGAGGTCATAAAAAGAAGAGGTATAAAACAGGAAACTATTTTTTAGGACTACATTTCTTTCTCAAGTTCCTAATATTAAGAGATAATTCAGTGTTCCCCCCTCCTCTCCTCTTTTCCTTTTAATGGAGTTGATTAAAAACAAAATTAATTCCTGCTGAGAAGAAAAGAAAAATGGAGGATTACGTGGCCAAAGAGTGAGTTTTCCTGTCTTCAGGAGCTACCGAATGCTACTGAACACTTTGGGCCGAAAAAGAGTATCATAAAGGATGAGAATGAAGAGAAATTGGTGGATCCTGGAATGGGGGTTCTGGACCTAGAGTGACTGCACAAAAGGGCGGAACGAGCATCCAAATGTGGTGCAATCCGTACTTAAAGCAGCAGCATCATTTGGCAGCTCCTGGTAGCTGTTCAGACACACCTATTCAGTGTCTTCTTGCTACTCATGGGCCTGTCGGTTGCTATTTGAAAAAGGAAAAGGAAAATATGTCATTTATTTTAAGATTCAGTAACCTAGAGTCCACCACCAGCCATAGCCAGCTGTTGTGTTGGCCTGGCTATTGTCCGAGTCAATCTGTATATGATCACCCATGATGATAACATAACTCTCAACAGGATACAGCACTTAAAACACCGTACGAGAGGACCCTAGACACCTGGAGAAGTGGTGGTGATGTAGAGAGGAAAGTAACTACTGCATCCCAACCTACCTGTGTCTGAAGGAGACTGACTGGAACCAGACTCAGTCTTCATTTGACTTGGACAGAGTGAAAGCATCTATTATACATTTATAAAAAATATATTTGATTTAATTAGTCTAGGAATGATTATTAGCACTTAGCAAAATTGGGCATTAAAGTGCTTAGAAAAAAGACTTGGAAAGTTATAAACAATGTGTATCTGGCATTTGACTACATCATAAGTGAATGTTTATATTAATGTTTTACAAGATTTTATAATTTATTTTTACTATGGCCCACACCTCTCATAAAAAAACAAACCCAGGTCCAGGTATGGTGGCTCACCCTGTAATCCAAGCACTTTAAAAAGTTGAGTCTGGAGGATCACTTTAGCCAGGAATGTGATACCAGCCTAGGTAACATGGAACTCATCTCTACAATTTTTTTTAACTAGCCAGATGTGGTGGCATACACCTGTATTCTTAGCTACTCAGGAAGCTGAGACCAGGGGATTGCTTGAACCCAGGAGTTGGAAGTCACAGTAAGCTATGATCACACCACTGCACTCTAGCCTGGGTGACAGGGCAAGTCCCCATCACTAAAAAAAAAACAAAAAAAGCAAAACAAAAACCCCAAATAGTATAGAATATTTTAATATAAATTCAGTCTAGCTAGAGTAGCAATATTTAGATTTTAGCCACAATACTTAGTTTTGAGATTCTTTTGCAGTTTATATCAGCAGGAGTTAAGGGAAATAAAGTCAAATTTTCTACTTTGTGTTAATCAAAGTCAAGTCTTATGAATAGAAATGATATTTTTATTTTTATTTTATTTATTTATTTATTTTTATAGAGATGGGGTTTCTCCATGTTGGTCAGGCTGGTCTCGAACTCCCAAACTCAGGTGATCTGCCCACCTCAGCCTCCCAAAGTGCTGGGATTATAGGTGTGAGCCACCGCGTCCAGCTAGAAATGATATTTTAATGAAAAACTTGTATAGACCATAGTAATAGGAATGTTTATGCAAAATTCAAACAAAGAGGATAGAAATATTTCTGGAATTATGGAGAAAGAACCTTCAAAAGTCTTTTCCTCCATAAAACCAATGAGAATATTGACAAAAATGATCAAAATTAACTTTTTCAGAAATCTGTAATTATCCAAAGACTTGCAGAAATTAATGAAGAAATCTAGTAATACAGCCAAATATTGAAAAAAAAGAAAACTCTGTGACATTTTAATTTGTTGTATTTCCATTTTCCCTCACTCCCTAGCTCTGTGGTAGCTCTGAAGGTGAATGGCATTGTAACCATGAAAATCAGCAGTCTAGCAGCCATCGGAGGTGATAGAATAGTAGTCTGTCTAGCAGCCACTGGAGGTGACAAAGAAGCCACTTTTGGAGCTCCTGTAAAACCCCATCCTGGGAAAATTATTGCTATTTGACCTGTATGTCAGGTAACATCTTGAAAAGCTCCATTCTCAAGATTTGCCTTTATTTGGACTTAGAGCTAGCTCTGTAAAAGCAGCTGTATTTCAAGGAAATTAGTCAAAAAAAAAAAATAGCTTTGTGGCAATTGTTTAACACCACAGCAATCTGAGGTAGCAATACCAGTCGTGGTTTTGCTGATCAAGTAGTCTGAAAGATGTCCATAAGGAGCTTTAAAGAAATTCTACATATTCCAGGAATCTAGAAGGACATGTACTTATATGGGTCTGTGCATATGGCCTGGAAAGACCTGAGATCCCAATCTCTCGCCTCTGGCTGATCTTAAGGCTTTGTGCAATCAGGAAGCGATAGCTAAGGTAGAGTTGTGAAATGCCCACTGGCACATTGAAGATGTACTTCCAACACAGACAGAGAGCCCTTCAGCAAAGGCTGGAAGACTTATAGTTTCTTTAAGATATTAAATAAAATCTCTATTAATTGTTAAATAATCATTAAGCTAATAAAGGAGAGACTTCAGTAGCCACAAAAGGACTTTATAAAATTAGTCCAGGAAAGTCACATAGAAACACAAATCATCATTATCATCAGCAGCAGCAGCAGCAACGACAGCAGACAAAAATAAAAATAAACTCTAGGGTGAAGAATCTGATTTTGGGTTTCCATATTATAATATTTTAAATTTCCAGTTCAATCAAACAATACTACAAAGAATAGGAAAGAATAACCTAAACACGGGGAGGAAAAGCAGGAATAGAAACTGTTTGTTAGAAATCCCAGATGTTGGATTTCTTAGAAAAAACTTTGTCAGCTGTTACAAATATGTTTAAAGAACTAAAAATACTCTAAATAATTAAATATAGGAGAATTACGTCTCATCAAATATAAATATCAGTAAAGATATAAATGTTATAAAAACTAGGAATTGTGAAGTAGAAAAAGCACAGTAGCTGAAATAATAAATTCACTACATAAGTGAAGAACATTTTTTCGGGTTAGGAAAATGTTGTAAAATTAGATAGTTGTGATAGTGGTACAACTCTTTGAATATGCTAAAAAACACTGAATTATATACTTTAAAAGGGTTAGTTTTATGTTATCCAATAAATCTTTTATTTAAAAAATACCCTGAAAATAAACTGTAGGTGACTATTGGTGGTGGGTGAGGATCAAGAGGTCTAGTCTACATGAACAGTAGTAAAATTAATGAAGAATAATTCCTTTTTAAACCTTTGGTAACATTGATTAGCTTATGTGTCTACACTGGCATATCAGAAATAATCTGTGATTCACAATCACTACCTATCATGCTTTTCAATAATGTGTAGAAATTTTAGAGTAGAAGAGCCTGATTGTAAATTATAGTCTAAAATATTCTACATTAATTTGGCTGCTATGCATATAAATGCAGAAGAATTAAAACATATTCTTTTTCAATTTTCAACTTGGTACGTATAAAAAGTCTAGAGGACAACAGGTGGTACTAGACTAACAATGATTATAAAACACAAAAAACTACTAGAGTTCTTCAAGATAAATAGCCTTTGGTTATTTAAATGATAGTAGTTCATTTACTATTTGGTTGATGCACTGGCTCAATAATACCTACTATTTAGAACAAAGTGTTAGAGAATATAAAACTTTGCTAGAATATCTCCATTGATCACAAAAATTTCAAGGCATTGTCTAAAGTAGACAAGAAACCAGAAAGTAACAGTGTATTCAATGGGAACGAGTTCTAGATATGAATAAGACCGTGGCAACGTGGGCCACGCAGAGAAGTACCCTTTCCATTTGCTTTCAGCTCTGTGGTTGAATCCATGCTGATAATAATGGATATCCTAATGGATAGGATAATAATGGAAATCCTAATGGAGGATAATAATGGCTATCATAATGAATTAGATGCCCCCAAACTGAAAACAGAAAGAAGTACTGGAAGTAAAATCCCAAGAAGTATGCAACTCCTAGTGGTCTGTAATTGTATTAGTCCTTTTTCACACTGCTATAAAGATACTACCTGAGACTGGGTAATTTATAAATAAAAGAGGTTTAATTGACCCACAGTTCTGCATGATTGGGAAGGCCCCAAGAAACTTACAATCATGGCAGAAGGTGAAGGACAAGCAAGCACCTTCTTCACAACATAGCAGGAGAGAGCGAGTGCAGAGGAAACTGCCACTTTTAAAACCATCAGATCTCATAAGGACTCCCTCACTGTCAAAAGCACAGCATGGGGGAAACCGCCCCATGATCCAATCACCTCCCACCACTTCCCTCTCTCAACATGTGGGGGTTACAATTTGAGATGAGATTTGGGTGAGTACACAGAGCCAAACCATATTAATAATTAACTCCTGTTTTAAGAATTATTGCAACCCTTATTTATAAAGCAATTAAATGGAATTCAAAGTTGACAACATGAAGTAGAGAGACTTGAAGTGACCTCGTATTCCAGGAGGGGTCTGGCGATTTTCTTACAAGTGCAAAAATATGCTTGACTGTTTTTTATTGGTTTGCGTCTCCTACTTTATCTTTCCAGACCATCCCAGACGATCTGTAAGATTCCATCTGGGAAATCACTTGGAGATCTTGGAAGGAAAAGAAGGAAGACTGTTGGTTGGAATAAAAGCAAGGTTAAATGGATTCCGGAAAGCGGGGCTCTCAAACTTGTAGACAACAATCTGCAGAAGATGACTTCAAAAAACCAACTAGAAGCAACATGTAGAGAAGTAAGATGTGATGTGAGGGGGCTCCTCTAGTCCACAGCAGTAAAATCTTGAGACAGCTCTCCTAGTAAGATGAGGGGATCCCTCTGTAGAGAACACTTCTTCAGGATATGTGAGGAAGACCAGAAGGAACAAACAGAGACTCCTGGAAACAAAGAAGGCGTACAGAGCACTATACCTACTGAGGTTATTGTAAGAATCAGAGGAACGTTGGCCTGAGGAGGAGAGCCTTGCATTGTTGGGCTATTTGCATGATTTCCTAAAATATCTGGCAAATAATTCTGTATCTCTGTTTACTGCCAGTAATCACAAAGCAGCTTTTGCTGAGTACCACTGCAAAGCCCTGTGAGGGTCTACAGACCACTCATTCTTATCTGTCTGGTATCTGGAAACATTTTTTTTTGTTCTTAGCCTTTTTCTTGTAAGATTGATGTTCTTTAAAATTGTTGATGTATAACAGGGCTAATTGTTAATGTGCAACAGGGCACAGTTTGTTTTCTGTGCTGTTTGAAACAGAAAATGAAAGAAGTGTAAGCTCCTTTTCTCATTTGAAAGTTGCTATGCAGCGTATGCAGTAATTAGAACAAAGAAGAGAACATTCAGTATAACATTTTATTGCCTAGTTGACAACAGTGCTTGGAAACTGGTGGTTTTATCTCTTCGATACTACACAATTTTCGAATGTGCGTTAATGCTATGTGACAAAATGCCCTGATTCCTAGTGCCAAAGGTTCAACTTAATGCGTATACCCCCAAACCCATGATTTCTGCTCATTTTTTAAAAAATGTTCTTGAGTAAACCAGCCCATCCCCTGCAAGTCCACCTGTGTTGGTCCTTAGGCATTCTATCTTTGCTCTAATTGTTGAAGGATGGTGGTTTTTGTATTTGAGACTAATGTACATTCTAACATGATAAAGGCAATTCATTATTGTATAGCCATGGTTTTCTGAAAAAGTTAATATTTCAGAGATTGTATTTCAGATCTTAAATAAAATTTGTTTCTAAATTTCAAAGCTAAAAGAAAACACAATCAAGTCAGCAAATTAAGTCAGTTTGGTCATGTCTTAACGTTTTACACACACACATGACTGGTAGTACACACACACACACACACACACACACACACATACATACTTCAGCACATAATCCCCGCAATATGGCAATGGTCTATGCAGAAACACAAGATGAGGTTATTTAAAAATGCTCACCTATTTAGCATGAATCTTTGCAATATTTCACTCTTCTTCTTCCTTTGGTGACTTTATATTACAGGTTCATAGGCTTCTAAGTATACTATCTTTCACCATTGTTTGAAAGACTTAGCCTCGTTCCAAATTTAAGAAATTATGAAATTCATAAGAAGTTATGAACTTCATAAAGTCTCACAGAAAAAAATAAGTATTATCTGCATTACATTTTATAATTAAATTTGAATTTGTTCCATTTATAGTTATATTTGAATTCAGCATTCTCATGAGGAAACTTAGGTAGATAGCCTAGTTTTAAGAAATTCAGAGTAACATAATGAATAGAATTGCTAAGACTGAAACCCAAATCTGGAATTTTTTTTTGTATATATATATATATATATATATATATATATATACACACACACACACGCATATGCATATATATATATGTATATATATATATTTTAAAATCTGTGTGCCTACAATCTGGGAACATTTAAAAGATCATTTTTTAGAGAATTTACACTAAGCTGTATTTTAATTCTTGTCTGTTTATAGTAAATATACACAAAATATCAAAATAAATCTCTAGGACACATCTGTTTCCTGTTCATTGTGCACATCATGTTATAAGCTTTTGGAATGAAAAGTGACATTTGAAAACCTCAAGAAATGACAATAGCAGCAGCGATGATGTTTTTCAGCTCTCACTCTAATCAGTGGGAACTGATTATTCATTTCAAAAGCTTTTATAAAATAAAGCAAACCTTGAATATGTTCAGTTAGGAAGCAAACCTTGAAATTATATGGTTACCAGTAATAAATCAGAGTTTCAACAAATAACTCAGTAATTTTTTAAAAATGCTAAACATTTATTAAATACTTACCCAGGTTGTTTTTGTTAATTTTAAGATGCTGCCAAAAGTTTACACCCATGTGTGTGCAACATACATACGTACAGTATTTTTTCTTTTAGGTAACATAGTTGGTTAAAGCACCTGAACATATTCCTAAATAGGTGCACATTTGTGGCTCAAGCCTGTAATCCCAGCACTTTGGGAGGCTGAGGCGGGTGGATCACGAGGTCAACAGATCGAGACCATCCTGGTCAACATGGTGAAACCCCGTCTCTACTAAAAATTACAAAAAATTAGCTGGGCACGGTGGCGCGTGCCTGTAATCCCAGCTACTCAGGAGGCTGAGGCAGGAGAATTGCCTGAACCCAGCGGGCGGAGGTTGCGGTGAGCTGAGATCACACCATTGCACTCCAGCCTGGGTAACAAGAGCGAAACTCCGTCTCAAAAAAAAAAAAAAATAGGCGCACATTTTAAAATAATCTTACATTATGAGTAGGTTAACAACTTTTGATTTAGAATAAAGTTTGTTGAAGTTTGCCTTTTGATTTCAACTAGCTAAATTAAGATAGCTTAAATTAAGAAACTAGGAAATCTGAATTAATTTAGATTTTTTTTAACACCTTAAAAGATCTAATTTAAGGACTTGAAAATTAGCATTCTTTAGATGAGAAAACATGCCTAACGTTACCTTATTTGAAATGAAATCTATTAATATTTAAACACATATCAGACATTAGGGACTGAAAAAAAGTATACTGAGGCAAAGAAGAAATTATCTCTCTCTCCTTTCCTCTCTCTTCCTTCCCTTTCTCATCTCCTTCAGGGGAAACTTTCTGCAGCTTTTGACCCTTTTTTGTAGAAATCAAAGGTCCCTCATTAGGAATGAGGTCTCTCTGGTCACACAAATAGCCATATGTATGTATGCATGTATACATACATTTACCTCCCACTGTGTCATCCATGCCCCAGCAGATATTAATAGTTTCAACAGCCAGAGTTTGGGTAACAATAAATATAGGAGATGTTTATTGAGGTGTAGACAGATCAGAGGAAACCAGCAAAGCATATTGAGTCACCAACTTTTTGCAACCCTAGACTTCAAGGTGCAAAGGAAGGAGCTAGCATTACCAGTGAGAATTTGTCTTGAAAGGGAGTGGGTGTCCAATAGTAGCTGTCCTTGTGAAAGGGGTTAGCAGGCAGTCTGAACTGAGGGCTTGGGGCACTGGCCTTTGAATCCTAGCTCCTGTGCTTACTTCAATATTCTCATTTGCAAGCAGGGGCCATGATAGAATGGCACAAATAAAAATGAATGATATTTGGCAGTCAGTATCCATGTCAAATATTAACCTTTACATATTATAAGGATTTGTATCTAGTTTGTCACATGATAGCAAACGTGTGACAAACTGGCTTAAATCCTGAGCCAGCAACTTATTTGGCAGTGACTTAAAGCAACTTTCTTAACCTCTCTAAAGCCTCAGTTTCCTCAATTGCATAATGGAGCCAATGTCTACTTCACATGGTGGCTGTCAGGATAAAACAGAAAATGTAGGAGAAGATCCCAGCTCTTGATGGCCTTGCTAACTGGGGGAGATTTGGCTGCTACATTTGCCCTTGCTCCCAAGTAATTGATGAGATGTAACATTATCATTGGAATGATGGTAATGGGGCAGCCAGTGGTTTGAGATGGGGAGGGTAAGGTTGTATGCAGGGTTAGGGGAGCTAGGGAGAGTATAAGAAACATTTGACATCTTTTTTTCCCCCTCCAATATCCAGCCAGTGGCTCCCATTGGCCTAAGCTTCCAGGAGGCAAGGAGATCCCACACATAGGGATCAGTCCTCCCGCAACACAGAGCTGGGTGGAAAGGGGCCAAAATGGATCTAGGGAGCAGTGGCAGCAAATGGAAAATAAACAACCCCCATCTCCAGTGCTTCATTTTCTCAGTTTGTCTGCCTACTGGCCAGGGAAACTAACCTCTCACAGCTCTGACTGTGTGCTTACATAAGTGACCATTCGTTTACCTGCGGCTACAAGACAAAAGCAGGCAAGGTCACCCACTGTCCTGGCTTGCAAGCCCTAGACCCCATATTATGGGTACTGGTGCTAGGGGATGTTTTCCAATAGGCCCCTCTGAAGTTTGGCTCCCCATCTCCCAGAGTTAATTGACCAGAATGAGTCAAAGTCAGGGCAGTAATCATCTTGAAGGAGAGATCCTGGGCTTCTTTTGTAGAACTAGGTATTGATTCACTTTGCCAGAGACCAGTTATTCTCCCAGAATGACCCCTTAACTCGGGTAGGCCACAGTCCTCTCTAGTAACTTTGATTAGATAAGGACTTTGTTTATCATATTGGCTTATACCTCGAAGCTGGTAGAAACTCCCCAGAGGTGCTAAAGGACACTGTGCTCAAAACATCAGTGTATATATTCCAGTTAGACAAAAATTCACCAGGCCAGAAAGGCTCTTGTCCAAAACTCCAAAATACTATGTTTCTATAAAATGAAAAATGCTTATATCAAACTTAATATTCGACCTTGGTTAACACTAGAGATTATACACTCTTCAATGTATATACATAAAATAAACTTTACTGTATTACTTTTGTGTATTGCTCTGTTTCTCTTTTTAAGAAAGAAACTGTTTTGCTTCAAGATGCTGAAAGAGTCCTTAAAAATGTGATCTGTTTGGCATCATGGAAACACAGGCTAAAATGAAGATAATTAAATATTATTAAACATTGTCAATAAATCTGATTTTGCCCATGTTTGAAGGTTATTGGATTCACTTCTTTAAGAGGTCAGGGAAAAACTGTAGCTAACATCTGGAAATTACCTGCTACTTTCTACCGAATGACACTATGGATCCGATGTCCTGCTGTCGAGCAGAATTAAATACTTCCAAAACACGGAGAAAATTATGATCAGTACTGTGATTGCTGCTACTACAGGATGTCCTTCTGTAGTTTTTCTCTTAGTCAAAAATATACTGATTATTTTTTTTTTTTGAGACAGAGTCTCACTCTGTCACCCAGGCTGGAGTGCAGTAGCGCAATCTTGACTCACTACAACCTCCACCTCCCAGGTTCAAGTAATTCTCTTGGCTCAGTCTCCTGAGCAGCTGGGACTACAGGAGCCCGACACCACGCGCAGCTAATTTTTGTATTTTTAGTAGAGACAGGGTTTTGCCATGTTGGCCAGGCTTGATGATAAAATTAAAGAAGAAAATAGCTCAATAAGAAAATGCTTAAAACATTCAAAACTTCAAAAATAGAGGAAATAAGGACATTAGAATGTTCTGCTTGAGAGTGAATGAATGAGCAGCCCTTGAGATTTTACTGCTTGATGGCTCAGTGTCCTCAAAATTATCTTGTCTGTTAAAATGTATATAGGGAAAGATGGCAAAATCTCAGCTGAAATCTGGTCTTTTGTTTATCAACCCAGTGATAAACAATGAGGTCCTCTTTTAATTGTTGTGGCAGAGATAGGGGTGGGGCATAGAGATGAAAGGCGGGAAACCTTAAGGAAGGGCTGGTTGCCTCACTAGACAAGTCAAAGGAGGTAGCTGGAGACCAGTGATACCTAAAGGCACCACAACCTGCTGTGAGGGCACAAAGGAAGGGACAAAGAATATTTTTTTCTGAGTAGCTGAACAAGAGGATTATGAAATATTCCCATGCAGGAACAGGACTCTGGAACCCGGAATTTTATTTCAATTGTGAAAACTCTGGGGTCAAGGAGAACACAAATAAAGCAGTGCTTTTATATCACTTGAGAGAGGCTGATAAAAAGCTGAGCTACCAGGACAGGGACACAGAGCAGGGAAGGACGGTGGGACGGAGGCAACCTTGTGCAGAGAGAGTCTGGAGTAGAAGAAGTTTGTTTAAATGCTGTTTGAAATTGTAATTTAAAACTTCTAAACATATATTCATATAATCAATAAACCTTTACATTTGCTTATCACTGGGATCTACCACTTCTGTTATTCAGGAACGTGCATGGAGTCTTTGAAACAGTGGAGAGAATCAGGGAAGCTTGTCGTTTAATTTTTTAACTATTCACTAATCTAATAAATACTTACAGAGTACCTACTATATGCAAAGCATTACAAAACTGCCATCAAATATCACTTATTATAAATTTTTCATTTAATTTAATAAGAGTTTTTCATGCTGGTATGTGTGTGTTCTAGATATTTTGTTACATATGCAAAAAGGAAACAATTGTCAATGTGCTTTATAAAGATAACTTTCCTAGAAAAAAGCCATGACCTGCTGAAAAAGTTCTGGACTGCCACACTGTGACATTAAAAACTCAGCCTTGTAAACAAGGATTTCTGGAAGTTTGATATACAAGGTCCTCCACCCATTTTCCTGTCGCGCAGGATGTAATGGCTTTTGTTATAATGCAGAGCGACACTAAATGACTGGGGATCACTGAATGTGTTACTTATTATTTGGATCACTCAAAAGAGCTACATTTACAGGAAATCAAATGATCT